CGCTCCCCTATATATATATATATATATATATATATATATAGAGAGAGAGAGAGAGAGAGAGAGAGAGAGATGAGCGATCAAATGAAAACCACTCCAATTTGTAAAAACCGTAAAAACTACCCTCATCTGTCGTAATCTTATGAAATTTTTTCATGAAATTGTTTAATCTTGTGAAATTGTTTCATATAATACTTTTTTTGATGAAATTGTTTCATATACTACTTGATGAAATTTTAATGAAACTGTTTCATGTATTTCTCTAAAATTAAAATAATGAATATGATAATATCCATGATTAACATCCTCTACAATAAAAATAATTAATAAACCTCTCATAATTACAAAAAAATGAACAAAATGAAAAATTATGATTGGTTGAATGAAGTTTTCACGGTTTTTACAAATTGAGTGGTTTTTATTTGAACACTCCCCTATATATATATATATATATAGAGAGAGAGAGAGAGAGAGAGAGAAAGAGAGATTTGGGATCATGTGAGACCAAAGGTTTTTTGGGAGACTCGTAATATCAATTTTCAACCATTGGATTAGATCTACAATCTAAACATTCATAATCACAAAATTGTCACGAGACTTCTCAATAATCACAAAATTGTCACCGTGCAACTTTAGATCATTAGCTTATAAAGTTGATCAATGAACATAAATTGGTCTTACGGGTCTCACGAAAAACTTTTGATCTCACGTGAACCCAACCTTGTAAGACCAATTCTCAACTAGATACTTGTATAAAAGTATTAAAATATTAAGATCCATTTGGTTTGTAAGATTGAATTGGACGTGAAGGAATTTGTAGTTAAACTCAATTTCAATACCAAGTTTGTTTTGAAAGATTTTCTAGATTTGAAATCTTTGGATTTCAATGAAATCCTACCAACATAAGAATTTGAAATTTTATGAAGATTGTTGGTATTTCACGGGATTTCGTATAATTTTTATGTAATAATGTCCTAAAGATGTATTAAAATAATTTATTTTGTAATAATCAATTAATAAAAAGGTAATTTAATTATTTTTATAATTACTTATAATTTGTTTTTACAATTTCATTCAAAATCCCACAAAGCAAACACATCAAAAATTCCAAATTCAAATCCCTCAAATTTCAAATCTTTTCACGAAACATAAATCTCTCAAAATAATTCCATCAAACCAAAAGCTCCCTAACTAAATATCGATCATGTAATGTTTAAGGATTTTTTGATAATTTCATAAAATTGCATATTAAATGTATAAGTATAAAACCTCAATTTTATTTCTAAAAGACTAAACAAGTACAAAATTAACCCAAATTGAGACTTTAAAACCTCAAGACTACTTGTGGTGTTTCATGATAATAATGGAAAATTCTTAGTTGCTTGAACATCGTGGGTGGGATCGTGTTAATCAAGAAATGTGAGACTTTTGCACTTTTTTGAAGTTGTGTTTTGGGCAACTGAATTTTGGTTTCACAAGGTAATAACAGGACCAGATGTCAAATAAATAGTAGATGCTATCCATGCTTCAGAAAATAATAATTCTGACTTCAAGTCTTGCTCCTTCAACAAGACTTTTATTATATTTGATTTACTAGGCGACAGACTAATTGAGTTGATCGTGCATTGACACTGAAATATGATTTTCTTTTTTTGTCCCGTTATTTCTTATGATATGCCAAGTTTTTTGTTCTACTGTGAACACTCTTATCACATGTGATCATACACGCGAGGGAGCCAGTGGTGTGCGGACGACTTCGCCCGCAACCTAGGTCGCGCCAAAGGTTGTCTGGGTCTCCAATTTAGTATCACGTGTGTATTGTATGTGATAGACTGTAGTAAAAGGGTGTTCTCGCATTTCCATAAAATGAAAGTGTTATTGTTTGAACCATTACCGGTTTATTATTTCTTAAAACTCATTCAACATTAAAATAAATGATAAATTACATTAAAACGAAAGCAACTTTGTGTTATTTTTATTTTGGAGAACCATGAATCAAATTGGTTCCAAACCCTCATCTAGAGCCGGGGGTTTTGTCCCGAATCATTATCCATTTGATGTTGTTGACGTTAAGCAACATTTCATTCAATTTTAGAAGTTATTTTCGTTATTCTTTAAAATTCAATTAATTTTTCAAGCTACTTACAAATTTTAATCTTTAAATATATTTGTTATTTACCTGTATGAAATAACACATTACATAGTCGTATGTGTCATTTCAAACGTGGTTAGAAATAACAAGACAACTCTCACTGCTAAAGTGTCCTTTGTTTTTTCCCCTGTTTCCAATTTCCAGTAACATTTACACGAAGGAACCTCCAAAACTCATTAAATCCAAGGAATGAGGAAACCGATATTGTATTGACTTGAATCAAAGGATTACATCTCACACACCTATTTACATTAAGCTAATACAATTAAAAGTACCCTTAAAACCCTAATACTCAATACAATCTTCATTATCCAATCTAATATAAACCAATAATCATCTTTGAATGGCCAGTAATTCTATTCATTAACTGCTGGCCTCTTTTCTGTTTACCTTGAATACAGACTTGTTCCAAAATGCTGACCCGGTAAAAGCATCTTATTTGATCAGTTTTTACCCCTTTTTTTGGTAAACAGCCCCTAGTCTTTTGGAACAGACAAGAAAGAAAACTTTGGAGTAATGAAACCAAATAAGAACTCTAAGCACGCGGTAACATCCTCCCTAAACAGAGTTTATGTAACAAAAATCCTGAGACAAACTCACTAATTAGTGTTCAAAGGTAACCACGCTGCCAGAAGTTAATGTATCTGCCATTAATTCCCTGAAACTAGTATGATTTATGTTTCCAAACTTCATTTTCTAAGTGTTGTGTTATAATGATATAGTACATATGTTTGTTGAATCTGATATTTGCTTTTCATTCTGATATAAGAACATAACCATTGTAAATATCATATTACATGCTAACTAAACTTGCAACACAAAATGAATCAAAGCAGACGTTGTCGCTGATAAATTGTAAGCATTACCAGTTCAAGGAGTTTTTTGATTGCTGAACTTTGACACTGTGTGAGCCTTCTATCTCTTCCTGCAAAAGCAGTGAATTCTTATAGTTCAGCATCATTGGAATCATAAATTGGGAAGTCAGAAAAAGTCTAGCAAATATCTTCTTGCTATCGATTCAAAATCTGAAAAGCCTGCTAAAGATTCACAACTAAACCAATTTTTCAACAATCATGCATTTGAAAAAGGTATCATACTAAAGTCAGCAAATTACAAGCTGTCTAAATTCTATTGATTCCAATTGCCATTCCAGGCACAAGTATAAATGAGCATTTGTCACAGCCATCTTTAGAAGCTGAACATCACACAAAAAATTTAAGCGGAAGTAGAACCACAAACGTTATTCATTACCTTGCAAGATTTCAGCAAAGGCTGCAAGAAAGATTCTCTAAAGTATCTGATGGACTTCCCCATTGAGGTTCTATCCCATACTGGCATCAATCCACAAACAGTAAAAATTAAAAAAAAAACTAGAAAGCCATAACAATACTAACACACAATGACGACGATAAGAAAGTAGTTGCCTTTGAGATAATATGATAGGTCAATTTAACAATATTACAATACTATATTGTACCATGCCTGAATGAAAGACTTTACATGTCCTAAAATACATCAGAGCTGTGAAATGAATCAATCTGAATTTCCTTTTTCTTCTTTTAGTGTATAATATTTATATGCGGCAAATGAACTCATGCACCCTCCTCAACTTGGGTGAAGTATAAACCCTTACCTCCTAGGAGGCTGGGCTCTACTGTAAACCCGGATACCGGTATGGCAAAGGCCATTTGTTATCAATCTGATTATTGACACAACAGAACTCTTGACTTGCATAAGAAGCTTTCATTTCGGTGATCGAGATCATTAGGGAATGATCATATTTTCAGTAACTTACCTTTATCGCCTTCTGCTTGCAAGCCTGCTGTGTTGATTTCTCCCAGAAGCTGTGAGAAACAACAAAGGTGGGTCAATCAAGGCTGCTTTGATACTCTAGCAGTTCAGAAGGTCAGGCTATGAGGATCAAGACTCTTGATACCATATCTCCCTAAAACTAAAAAAACTGATAAAAAAGTAGAATGCAAGATAGAAAAGTCATACCAAGGTTAACGCATACGATATTTGAAATAATTATATTCTTGAACTGCCATAATTTATATCAACCAACAAGATTCTCATGATTTCAAAGTAATAGACTACATTCTATATCTTAGAAAGCTAGAACAATTAACAGAATATGTGGATCTTTTTAAAGCCCTACAACACACATACAAGTAATACACATGCATATGCAAACCCCTTCACATGGAGGGTTGAGTTTTCATAATGTCAAAACACCCAGATGGAAATAACCTTGGCAATGAAAATAAAACCTTTTAGCATACGAATGCATCAATGGTCCATGATCATCTTTTCAAAAACATTGTTTGACAGATAAAAATCATAAAAACTTTAACAACCTAAAAAGGGGACATCTCATAAATAACCAAGTGATAAAACCAAAGGCTAACCAGACAGGTTCTGCAATTCTGACTCCTACTTCCCAAGTGGAAAATATTGTGTGAGAAAACAGATATTGCATGAGAAAATGTGGCTTTTAACTCGACCAAAATCTGTAACTTAATTCTTTGTTGTCAATATAATCTAGAATTATTTTCAGAGGTTCTCAGCTTACTTCTGCATACCTTCGTCAAAACAAAAGGCGTTCATGAGCCTATATTGAACTTCCTGTTATATTGCAAAATTGCATTTAGTTCAACCTAAAGCAAGTAACTGAGCAACTGATCATTCTTATACATATCATGAGCATTTTCAACTTCAACACTGACAGACTCCAGAATACAACAAATTCTAACCAGAATTGCAAAATACCGATACAAGAAGCAGTTCCATATATAGTTCGCTCACCAAAACATTACCTTGGAAAGTGTTGGCACATTGGTGGGATCAAACTCATCACAAATGGCTGGATTGATAGGAACACAGACACGCCCTAGAAAAAACATGGATGAGATTTGGCATATGGTAAAAAATTACCTAAGATGGCCATATTAGCTTTTAAGCATGAAATTTCTGAAAAATTAGGAACTCAATTAATTTATATATCATGCATTATTTTCAGAAATATGACGCAAATTCTTTATGTAAACATGGACATCAAAACCGCTGCGCATAGGCATCGTGTCAAACTGTCAGCGTAGTTATGATCTTAATGCCATGGCCTGTCATACTCAAAGAAGCAAATACCGAAACTGACCTGTTTTGGGGTGTACACAAAAAGGTGCCTTCAGCAAATGATTCATGTGTTTTGAAACCTGAGATGTGACATCAAATGAGTTAAAATGTACCACCTCTAGCTAATGTATGTATTTGATTGCGTAAAAGTCCTGATATATTTCATGCATAAGTAGATTTAGATTATATGGTGGAAGAACATGATTAACATAAATGATTACGAAATGGAACTTCTTGTGTTGAATTAAAGACAGTTAACAACAAACATACAAGGTGAGGATTGCAGTAAAGTAAAATATAACCAACTACAGATCTAGTGGAAGATAAGACAGTACTGACCTCCATATCAAGCCTAGGATAAGTGAAAGAGAAGACAATCTCCTCAACACACCTACGAATCCCAGGTGCCTGACATGTGGAAGAAAAAGAATAGTTCAAAGAGCTATAGATGCATACAGAAATATATTGCATTCGGAATGCTTTTTTGAGTTTAAAATAAATAATTCTTGATCCCAGGCATACAAAATGTAGCTTGGAGAAGAATCAAGAAAGTTATGCTTATTATGTTACAAAGGTGTGTTGCCAGTAAAGAGGATGTCAAGATTTGAAAGCTTTTGCATTTATAAGCAGCAATGAAGGAATTAAAACCAGCCACTTAAAATTGAAGAGCTTAAACCAACCCAAGTAACAAACTAGTGAAGACAAAAGCTTCGAAAATCACAATCCCAAGCCCCAAAAACACAGAGCTACATACAACCACCACCAAAAAGAACCAGATGGTCTGTCATCTGGATTTCATCACTTCTTTTACTGATATTAATTAATAAAATGAACATACCTTTTGTTTACCAGATTGAAGCAGATGTTTTAGTTGCTCCCATCGCACAACATTCACATCTTTTCCACTAGAGGGGCGCCTACTGTCTTGCCACTTTCCTCTAAGCTCCGAGGTTATTGCTACAAGGTAACCACAAATCTTATAAACAGTTCCTGAAAGTAATTTTTGCTTATTTTGTTCAACACACGTAGCAGGTAAAGCACATTGCAAGTACTAGGAAGAAGCAACAATAGAGAGACAAAAAGAACAAACAGAAAGAGAGAAAGGAGAAAAGAAAAAAGGAAAAAGGAAAACAGTTATATATCCAAATTGCATACATTCATCAGGAATCATCTCCAGTATTTTCTCATATCTCTCATCTGAAAGTAACTGTTGGCTGCAAAGTAATTTCTCCTCAAAGAAATCTCTCAGAACATCGATATACGATCTCCTGCAGGGATATTACAAGGTTCAGGATATTAAATGGGGCAAGAAGTGACCGACTATTACATAAATGACCATACTTACACAAGGAAAGGATGAAGTGCAGGACCCAGGAGTGAAACCTTTGATGTGCTATTGCTGTTACCCTGAACAATAAATAAAAGATAATGAGCTCTCACGCTATAAAAATTTGCACAATTGCGTATATGAACAACTAAAATCAACCTTGTACAGGCGAAAATAGTCTGCAATAGCTGACCTCTGTTCATTATTCAACCTGAGATTCAAGATAGTAAAATTCAGGCTTCACACCCCATTGTAAATGAGCAATTGTAGCTGGAAGAAAAAGTAAAACTTTCATTTTAATAGTTTGAAGTATCACCTTCTTGCTTTTCCATCACAAACCCAACAATGAACACCACGACGGCCACTGTATACCCAGAGAACATGATTGAACCCAAAATCATCTGAGCAAAATGGACATGCAACTAGTGTTACTGATGTATAACAGTAGAAGCAATGGTTTAGACGAAAACTGATGCATATGCTAACACAGGAATGTCAGTGCATGTAAAATGATACTGCATCAAACTACCAAGACATTGATTTCTAAATGTAATAACCTTTGGATATTGGTAGAACTAACTCAACCATACATTGTACAAGCATCAGCTTGCCACGAGGTAATATTCTCACCTCTAAGGGCAGTATCAATCACTTTAATTGCAATGGTCATCAAAGGCCAGCAGTCCAAGCAAACATCTGCTCCGGAGCAGCAATATCTGGCATCATCATAATCTGAAATATCCTGGAAAGCTCAACAGTTTACAATCATGTTTAATGATCAGAGATTTGCTTTTAGACTATTCAATGTTTAGTATGCATTCAGAAACAAAGAAAACTTACTATGTCAAACACTAGCTCCCTTTCCACAGGAGTGAAAATGTTGTCCCCAGATTGTGCGTATGCAAGCCTCTTTGAAGGCTGTTGAAAGATCAAGAGACAAGTACCAATAAGCAAACACTAAAAATACACCAAACACAGTCCGTTCAATTTCAGTTACATTTACAGTACCTTTTACAGGTAAAGCAAAAAAATTAGTGGGATATTTTATATGCAGAAAGCAGATAAGACATTGAAGCTATAATAATCATGACACATGCAGCAGCAGAGCTAACTTCCTTCAAGAATAGTAAAACGATCTTATAGAATCTTACATCAACACTATAAACAGGACCAATATCTATTTTGAATGGACATTTATCTTTGATGCCATTTTCCAGCTCAGACGCACTCTTGAAAGATTGGAACCGCAAATATATATCATTATCCAATGTGAAAGAAAATTCTCTCCGCCCAAAATAAGATTGGTCACATGCAGGATGTTTCCCATCTGCATATATAGACAACTCACATTCAGGATGTTTCAAATTCGGTTGGAAAACAATGAACAAGGATGTACAACATAGTTCCCAAAAGTATACATGGTTCGGTTAAGATCATGAATCTTGAATCCAAATATTATTAGAAGTCCAATCTGTTATCTACTAAAAGCTCCTTTTACAAAATGAGTACTTAATAAGATTACCATTTCCGTATGACATCCATTTGAACATATCTGCATGTGGGAAAAGCCTTCCTGCCAAAATTAAACATTTCCATCAAAGTCAGAAACTCAAATTATGACCCTATTGATCAAGGATAAATTCATAACACAAAAGGACAAATGCTTCTATATTGAAAAATCTTCCTTGTTTCTTTTGCAGTTTTATCTGGGCAAAAAATTTGAAATTCAATCTACAAGCATCCACAGATTTCAAGTGAAATTTGAGCAACAAAGGTCCTACCTAGTAACAGAAGAATGCATCTAAGTTCTGATGATTAGATTTATCATACTTCTCCACTGACTTTATTGCCCTGCACCATGTTTTATCCTTCTTCTCTAATCTCTGTGCTGTTCTTTGTTTCCTTGATGCCCTTTTGCACACATTCCCGTTTTACAAAATTTACCACTATATCAAGCTCTTCAATTACTATTCAAAATGTTCAAATTTTTCTGAATTTTTTATGAAGTATCAGCCTCTCTCTAGACTTTACCAAACATTTTCACAAGCTAGGGTCTTCACCTAAACAACCTCTCTACATTGGGTAGACGAAAGGTGCTGTGCATCCTACCCCTCAAACGCTACTTCTGGGTGGGATATATTTGGTAACTTTGATTTGGTTTGGTTTTACCTACCCTGGTAGGAGGCATTGTGAATCGCTCTTGAAGTACTACCTTACCTCTAAACATGATAGTTAATCATTGACTCAGATGAAGTTTCAATGGGCTTAGGCTTAATCATTGGAAAGGTTTCTAAAAAAACCAACCCGTATAATAATCTTGTTGTAATTGCTCACTCATACCAGACAGAGATTCATTTCAATCTGAGATGCCTAACAAGCTAATTTTCAGCTTCAGATTTTTAGGCAAATTCTGATTCTTGTCAATGTTACTTGCTTATTTTTGCCACATTGAACTTTATAACAAGTAATGCAAACAGCAAAATAAAATTTATCTCAATTTTGCATCTGAAAGGTACTAGGTTTGATTCCAATCTCTTATTTCTCGAGATTGATGAAGCAAAATAGAAAACATAAAATGGTACCACAATTTGGGCATAATTCAGTACGCAAGTCAGAAATTTAACAAAAAATATGTAAAACTACAATAACTTGCGAAGATAAATTGTTTCTAGGAACAATTACCGTAGTAAACTTTGAGGTAATTAGGATTGAATCCGTCATCTACTTGCGCATTTTGGGGTTCAGGATCGTCAATTAACATGTCATCTCTTCCATTCTGTGCTTCTTCTTTAGTCATACTTGAACCCAATCACAGCCTTTTCACAAACCCTAACAGAACTGCCACCTATCGGAACTACTATATCAGTATAAATCACGGATTTCAAAACTTTGAGAAATTAAAAGACAGGTCTTAAGCACCTCAAAAAATGATGAGCGAATTTTAACATGCGGTTCGATGTATAACCTACTATTACCACAGAATACACTCGATACAAGGACGTCATATAAAAATACATATAAAGGTGTACTTAACATAGTGAGGATCGTACCTGAAGATATGTGTTCTGGAATCAGAAGTACAACAGGTTTAAGTCGCGGAAATGGTGAAAGATGGATTTTCGGGAAGATGAGAATGGCGGGAAAGAGTGACAGACGTCGGCTTGTGCAGAGGTTTTGGCGGGAAGACGAGTAATCTGCCGGTTGTGCAGGCATACAGTTTTATATGAGTTTGGGCCGAGCCGGTCCGGACCGATGGATTAACTCAAGGTGGTTTATTACAAAATTCCTTTACATTGATAAAGGGGGTTAATTTTTTATTAACCTGGATATCCGACTAATCCTAGGTTGACCACCTGCTTTGCAGATAGCCTGGAATCGTCGTATTTGAATCTTCGTGGCCATAAGGAGATTTTTAATCCTCCTTGAATTTGAACCTGAAATCTCCTGGTATTTTTGATCTTTAGAGCCAAACTTAAACCAATCAGACACCACCCTTGTGGTCATAAGAGGTTAATTTGATAACTAAGATTGCAGATTATGCATTTGATCGGATTAAAAGTATTTAAATAATTCAATTTAATGTTTGAGGTTTAAAAAAAAATCAACTCAGTCCAGTCCAATTAAAACTACAACCTAAGCCAATTAAAATCGTGTAGATTGGGTTGGTCGGTTTGATCGGATTAAATCTTTGATACATTATTTTACAATCTAGCTAAGTTTTAGTGTTTAAACGAAGTAAAATGAAAATGAGAACAACTACAATAAAGGTTGACAAACTCCAGATGAAAATTTCGAAGGTTCATGCGAATAAGAAAGTAAAATTACAGTTGAAATTGTGATATAATTTTGAATATAACTAACTACAGAATGTATATGATATTAAACAATAACTTAACAATGATATTAAATTCATAACATAAGAAGACATCAGGGTTACTGGGTTTGGTTCAAATTACCCTAACCCAATTTCATTTTAATAGATGTGGTTTTGCCTAATTTTGTATCAACTATATGTTAGGTTACCTCGAGTTGAGTTTTTTCGGATTGGGTTGGCCATGTTGGTCGGTTTTTTGAACACCCCTATTGATAATCCTTGAAATTGCGATGATCTTAAGAATTAGTGTATTATATGTTGTTTCACAATGCATTTATTTTAAATGTATTCGTTTTACAATTAGAACTTTTTTTAGTATATTTGTGAAACAAAAGTTACATGTGGAAAAGTTTCACAATATAAACAGAATACATATGAAGCAAATATATTGTGAAACAAATATATGTTCGTCAATACATTCAATACTAGTCTTAGATGGAAAAAAAATCATGGAAAACAATATCATAAGATAAAAGTTTTCACGGTTTCTATAAATATTGTTTTATTTGTATATTTAATAAATTTTGAAATTGATCAGATAAATAAATTTGTTGTTCCATGGAATATGACCGATTGCAACCAAAACAATTAAGAAAATCATTTTTTTTAATATTAATATTCATGTATAATGAAACTAAGTATAAATCATTAGTAAAATCAACTCGAGTGAAAACGAGGGATAAAGAATAAGTTTTGGAATAGTGACTTATATTATGCTCAGATTAATCTCAGTAAATTATGACTATAAGATATCAGACATAATGAATTCAATGTTGTCCATGATTATTGTTAAACGGCTTAAGATCACTCGAAGACGAAACAAAGGTTGTGTACATTTTTTTTTCGTTTTAACATAAACGTTCTAGTTTTTCAATGTAAAAGTACAACGGGCAATGGAAGATTGTGGGTGACACAAAAAAAATTTGGTTAATCATTTTTCCCTTTTGTGTGTGAGTGAGATTCTTCTAGCAGCAGCTTAATAATTACGAGTTAGTTGTGTCAAACAACGGGAATGTGGGGTGCAAGAACAGTTATTTTTTATGCACGTCAAATATTGGATTTGTTGTCAAGTTGTTTATGTAGTTTATTATATAAATAACCGTATAGATATTTCTTGTCTATGGTTCATAATTAGTCTCCCAACCAGGAGTTTTTCACTATTTTGATGAATGGTTACATGTTGTGGTTAATAGCAAAGTTCATATGTTTCACCTGCAATTTTGGGTATTAAACGACCCTATACTTGTCTGAAATTTTGTATTTGCATTGCTAACATACCCATTTAGTTTTATAATAAGTTTTGCATATGGGTTACACGCATTTGGGTCAAAACAAGTTTGCAGCAATGGTTATGCCGTGTTTTTGAAAGTAGGGTAGTTCTCTTAGAGACGTCATTTTACTGTATTGAGGTAATTTAATTTGATTTTTTTTATTAACCTGGATATTCAACCCGCTATGCAAACAAACTAATCTTAGGATGACCACCTGCTTTGCATATTGCCCGAAGTCACCGTATTTGAACATCTGTGGCCACAAGGGGATTTTTATTCCTCCTTGGATTTGAACATGGGATCTCCAGGTACTTTTGACCTTTGGAGTCAAACTCAAACAAATCAGGCACCACCATTGTGGTTATTAATTTGATTTTATTATTGTAAGGTAAGTATGACATCATGATGTATTTTATGAAGAAAAAAAAATTTATCCTTGTGTAGGTTGTCCACTACTTCCTAACAACTTTACTTTTTTGCTTCTTGCATACTTAATTACATCATTTAAGCAGTAGTATTTGTTTCATTTGCCTTCGTAACAAAGTAGAAGGTGTTTGGCTCGTTGTAGAGGATGAGATGACAATTACATTGATAACCTTTATGGGTTTTGGGAATGAGAATGGTTACTGCATAATGTACGACTTGTATTTATTGTCAATTTATTTCACGATAAACTCAAAAGATTGGCTAACAACAATGAGAAACCTTACAACATTTACAAAACCATTCGAGTTTTTAGGTACAAATGAAGGCCTACATATGTTTTCTCAATGGAACTATTGTCTTCATGTAACAGATGTTGTATGGGCAGCGCGAGCCTATGGTGAAGAAACCATGGACCGAATAAGGTGTTAGGTAATTTGTCGAGTAAAGGTCATGGGTAGTGACGTTGTAGGATGGCGAAGCCATAAGCTGGTTACACTGTAAGGTGGTGATCAACAAGCATGCGTTGTGGGGGCAATGATGGTGTGCGACAGTGGGGCCATAAACCAACGTTGGCATGAGGTAGTTCCCCAACCGAGGGTAAGGCAATTTTGAAAAAAAAGAGCATTTGAAACGATAAACTTCTTGCCATATGTGGTTTCACATTCCTATCATCAACACCCCTCCCCCCTCTTTTTAATATTGGTCCATTACCTGCATTATAGAATGATAAGTCATTCTGGGCTTGTTTGTTTTTTGAAAAAAATCACTTAATGCCTCTTAAGTCTGAACCGGTCAGACGTTTTTATTTTCAGACCGTTTGTTTTTTTATATAAATAAGAGCTGAAAAGCTCTTAATTTGCTCTGAAAAAAAATGATAACATAATCACTTAAATCCTCTTAATCGCTCCCTCCAGACTCTCCCCTCCATCCTCACCTCCAGATTTAGTCCTCCAAATCTATCTCGCAAGACATTCGATCTCCAAATCAATCACGACCCAGATCGATCCACATATTCTCGTAAAATCATGACCCAGATCGATCCAAATCTATCAGATCCAAAACTTGACTGATTCAGATTTCAGATTTCAGACTTAAAAACAAACAGTCTGACTGATTCAGATTTCAGACTTCAGTACCACCTCTTAAAATTCAGAAGTGAAATCAGACTTCAGACTTCAGAACCTCTTAAAAAACAAACACCACCTAAATATCACCATCAATTCTCTACCCAACAATACCCCAACTAAACATCCACTTGGTGTTTGTGTGGATCATGACAACTGACTCCATGAGAATAAGGATCCCCACTTACTGGACACGAATGTATATTGATGATTAAATTTTACGTGTCTAAAATTTTCACGTATAAATGTTTAATGCACATAAATCCATTAAATTATATTTATTTATCATGTAGGAAACTCTCAACTTCAGTCTTTTTCTCATATAGATTACTCTGTACAGTATGCTCCACATTATGCATACTACAAACGAAGATAGGTATACTAATTGTATTATTTTTGCTTAATTGTAATGTAAATCTTATTATAAATAACAAATATTGAGTAAGACCGTTAATATTTAAATAGTAAAATTATAACCCTTGTTCTGTAATTGACAAATTGTATTTAAATTAAGATCGAAACGAGATGATATTGATATGTTTATCACAACATAAATACTAAACCATTTTTATCAGATAGTTGAGTTTCGGTGAGAATGAAAGTTATAAAGGGGAAAGGTAAGAAGAGATCTTCATCCATAGATCAATCTTAATTGAAGATCTATACTTATGAGATGCACCAAGGTGCACTAAATCAAATTATTGTGATAAGCATAAAGGGGTGCTCATGGGTTGAGTTGATCGAGTTGAAGACATTTGAACAACCCAACATAATGCTTGCGGTTTGGAAAAATCTTAACCCAACCCAAAACCAAAGTGCAACCCAACCCGTAAGGGTTGGTCGGGTTGATACTTTGATATATTAAAATATTATTCTAACATTGAATATGTTATTTCTTTACTCATAATTTATTTTTCATCATCAATCATTTGATACAACTTATCCATATTTCTTCCGTATATCACATCAGTTAATTTTCATAATTTACATATATATGTTCACAGTTACTGAACATATATATATGAATGAGTTATATAGAGATATGAATATAATGAAAATATATATATATATGAAAAACATACATGATAATGTAATTATCTAATGTATATATTAATAGAAATTCAACAATCATATTAAATCCAATAAATAAAAGGATATCGGGTTCCTCGGGTTGGGTTGAGTTCAAATAATAATAACCCAATACCTATGGTTTGACAATTTTACAACTCGATTAGACATCAAGTTGCTTCGGGTTGAATTATTTCGCGTTGGGTTGATCGAGTCTTTGAGTACCCCTAAGCATAATCCATGAAATTGGAGTGAGATTAAAAATGATAAAAAGATCTTATCCTTTCTTACGCTTTTTATTTTAACTTCTATTAAATTATATGACGGATTGTTATTTACTTGTTTATTTATACTAATTAGATATTTGTATTTAAAAACTTAGCTCATTTTAATTATGAGTTAAGTTATCTATAACTTATATTTTAGTTATAAAATATTAGTTGTCAAAATTATCTATAACACCGAACCCTAAATATAGTAATAAAAAACGTCCAAGTGGAAAGAGAGATATGTGTCCTCAGATAGACGGACCTCCCACAAAATCCAATAATGCGTTTAAACACCCAAGCAGCCAATCACATTACCTTCTTCCCATTAAATTTCTAAATTAACACTTACACCCCTTTTAAAATGTCAAAATTTTCAAATTCCCCCCTCACGCTCTCTAACACACAGATTTTACCCTTCTCTTAAAGTTCGTCTAAACTTATAAAAATCATTTAACCTTTTATCCTACATATTTTATTTTATTTTTCAAAAAATAAATAATAAAATTACAACATATTTAAATTATAAGGATATACAAATCAAATATGCGTGTTATTGGAGAACAGTCATGTGTTGTCTGTAAAATTTTCATTATGAAATATTTTTAATACTATAAACATATTTTATATTTGTACTGTTTGTATTGATTTATAATGATTAAGGGGTGGTTTACCTAAATGCTTACTGATAGGATTCAACATTATAATTTATTTTGATACATAATATTTTAGTACATCAAACCATATTGAATGCAACAAATTACTGGGTAAGTGCTTATCCGAGTAAGAGTCGTCATCTTTACTTACCGGGTAAGATTATCTATCATTTTCATTGTTCTTATCTAGTAAGATTCTTGGCCATTCTCATGTTCATGGAAATTTACCCGGTAAGTACATACCAAGTAAGTGTTTAGCAAACGGTTCCTAAATAGGTTTTAGGGTATATGTTATTTAGGTGGATACGAGATTTGATTGAAATATGGCGAGTTTTAGTGTTACCATTAACCGATTGACAATATATTCGCATGTTTGACCATTACTTATTATTTACTGCTAAAAACTATGCTCCTTTTTATTTTTAGTGACATTTATGAATGTGCACTGTCTTTACATTATACTGACCTCGTTCGTTTAAATGTGTATGCTATAAATAACACTTCATACATGTTATGCACCATCTACCTGTAATTGAACATAATAAATCGATGCAACAGATCTTTGAAGACCATGTAAAATTTGCAATATTTTGACAGTATACTTGTTTCTTTATGCCAGATGAGTTTATTTGAAATGGTTTATCGATTAGCCAACTTGAGCAAACTAATTAATGGTCATATTTTTGTAATGTAACCATCATCGGGTTCTTCCTTTTCATATATTTTTATAAATACATATAAAACAATTTATAACATTATAAGGAATCATCATATATTTTGATGTTTACATAGGAAAGAGTATTTTTTATACACTTTTGTTTATTTGTACACGAAACATTATCAAGCAAGTATAAATCAATCACATATCTTGAGAGAAACCGTTTTGTGTCAAGTTTGAACACATCATGTCTAAGGGACTGTTTACCAAATGCTTACTCGGGTAAGCGCTTATCAAGTTACATTATCTTAGCGGATGAATATTTCAAGGGCCAAAAATCTTACCCAAGAAGAACGAAGCAAAGTCCGAGAGACTTACCCGGTAAGTGAGGGCAATGATCTTACCACGATCAGCTCTTACCGTTTTTGTTGACTAAAATTTTACTCGATAAGTAAATAATAGTGTTGAATTTTACTGGTAAGTGCTTATCGGGTTAGTGATTAGAGAATTAGTATTAAAACAATGATCCAAGTTAATAAAAAATAAAATATACTTTGGATGAATTTTAAATAATCTGATTTGTTTCCTTTTTTTTTAATTTAATTTTGCTCATTCTATATAGAAATAAAATATAACGCAAAGTAACTTATTTTTAAGCACAAGTTAAACGTAACAATTTAAAAGAATAGTATAAGGACCAAAAAATCGTTTTTGAGAAGTGTAGGGGGCAAATTGATATTATCTTAATGATCACATGAAAATGGTGGAGAGAAGGGAGAGGTGGATGAGAAAAAACCAAAAAGCAAAGCAACCCACCCATTGAAGCTGTGATTCCTCTCTCTCTCAAACGTTAACGAATCAACCGACTAATATTTGTTTATCGGCGTTGTATCGATTGATTTCCGGTGGCACTCTCGGCTTGGACCATCCGATTTCTTTGTTGCCGTTGATTACTATACATGGCGATCACCGGAGACGGTGCAAATTTGCCGGAGATCGATTACATTAAGAGGCACCATAAGCACGAGGTTAGAGCGTACCAGTGCACATCCTCGCTTCTTAAACGCATCAAAGCGCCTGTTCATCTCGTAAGTTTCCGAATCTATAATTGGGAGTTTAATTGATCTAGTAATCGTAATCACAGTGGATCTGAGCTGAAGTTATCTTTCAGTTTAGTAAATTGGATATCACTGTAGGTAAACTTGTGTTTTTCTTTAGAGAGACTATGATTTATGTCCGTTTTTTAATTACTGACGCATAAACAAGCCAACCGTTGCCCTCATTCTATAACTGTCAATGTATACTAGCGGAACGTGTGTTGTCAAGAGTCATTTCGATGATTGCTTAAAGTTAAACATGCTTACTAACCTTAAATGAAAGTAAATTAGGTGTCAAGCAGGAACACAATGTGGTATTTGGCTTAATGAAACCAAGGGACGTCTGTAACCCTTAAGCTCTCAGATCGAGTGTGTTTAGAGTAAAAGCTGCTTCTTTAATGCTTCTATCTGCACTTTTCAGTATCCACAAATGATATTACTGCAAATGGCATTATTTTGCTCTTACCCTTAAACCGTTACTAAATTATCCCCAGAGTTGGTACTTTCCACATTCCAGGTTTAGTTATAAGTTATTGTCCCAGAAACTGGTAGGCTTTTATTATTTGATTTGCTTTAGTCATTGTCCTAGATACTAAGGTGACTCCTTAATTTTCAAGACTCCAAAAAGTGGCATGGAAAAATTGGGTATGCAAATGCCAACTTATGGGCCCATTCTGATAAAGATGGACTTATGACTAAATTTGATTTGTAGAAAGTATTGTTACATTTCGATCATCAAGGGAATAACTCTAAATAGAAAACGTACAGGGGATTTTATTTTGAACTATGAGCCCCTTTTTGATATAACACGAATTTCAATGATGATCATTTATCGAGTATGAAAAGGTCAGGTGATAAAATATGTTAATAGATCATGAAGTTTTGTAGAAGTTGATACCCTATTAATCCAAAAATGGTTTCGTGTTGAGATGCCTAAATCCTAACCGAAATGAAAAGTCCCTTCTATCTTTTTGGAGCTCCATATGAGAATCTTTTCCTTGGGTTGACCATAGAAAGCAATAGCGGTCTCGCGTGATTTAGATATCCTGGATTATTCTTATTTGAATTAACTAAAATTGGGATTTGTAAAGTTTGAGTTGGAGTCTTGGTAGGATTACATTTGGATCCATATTGAAATCTATAATGCTCTGTCTGCTTGAGGTTATAGAAACATCATATTGTCATTCTGTAGTTTTCTTGATACACTGCAAGCTTGTTTCCTTCTCCCATGGATGTATTCCCATTCAGTGAACCATTGTTTCCATGTGTGGTGAATGATTTTCTTTTGCTTGGTCATCAATAACTTTTCTGAATGGTTTATGTGTGTTCAAGGTATGGTCCCTGGTGAGGAGGTTTGATCAACCACAGAAGTACAAACCCTTTGTGAGTGGATGCAATGTGCAAGGTGGTGACCTTGAAATTGGAAGTGTTAGAGAAGTAAATGTTCGATCTGGACTTCCTGCTACCACCAGTACAGAAAGGTTGGAACTTCTCAATGAAGAGGAACACATCTTGGGCATGAGAATTGTTGGTGGAGATCACAGGCTCCAGGTATACCTCTCTCTCAATCTCATTCTCGACCACACATAAACCAAACCAAACTAAGGCCCTGCTTGTTAGCAGTTTCATGAGATTAGTGGAACTCACTGCCTATTCGGTCAACTATACATGATTGTTTGGTAGTGGCTTAATGATGTAGAAACATGAATGTTTGGTAGTGGCTTAATGATATATGAAAGTGACTTATTCAGTAAGCTTCTATAGGGGAACTTTATGCAGAAAGCCAAGTTTTTTCCAAACCTATTGCTCCTAATTAAGAACATTGATCATTCCATCTATGGAAAGCCCTCCAACACAAAAACCTTTCCAATCTATATAGACAAATGAATGCATATATACATCTTTATCCATACATAACTTAATGGAAAACCAACCAAACAGCCCCCAACCCGGTGTGTCCCTCACGGAACATGGACTGTAGGATGTATGCAGACCCTTCCACTACATAAACTGATATATTCATGTACACATTCACAGACATTCACGCACACAGTCACATGTAAATATACGAGAGCTAACATTATTGGGATTTGGTTGCAGAATTACTCATCAGTGATCACCCTTCATCCAGAAACTATTGAAGGGAGGCCAGGAACTTTGGTAATTGAATCATTCGTGGTGGATGTGCCGGAGGGCAACACCACGGATGAAACGTGCTACTTTGTTGAGGCCCTCGTCAAGTGCAACCTCAAGTCGCTGGCGGATGTCTCAGAACGGTTGGCTGTGCAAGACAGTACAGAGTCCATCGTCCAAGTGTGATTCCTTTTTGCAGGATCCATTGTAGAGTCTAGTAATGGAGTGGACAATCTCCCATCACTGTGCATATTCCATGGAGTAAGTTATCACAAACTACAACCATCTTTCATTCCTCTATAACAACTTTGTGTGTGAAGAATATTGTCAACCTTTTCTGTTTGTTATTTTGCATTGATTTTGTGTCACCAGAACCCAAAACAACATATTTACTGGACACATGCTTTGCTTTTCCATTCTCCTGTATTGTTGTAATGCAAAATGTCAAACGTTAATAGCCTTGTTAAAAATGTTTATGAGCAGTATAATTGATTCTCTGTAGCACCAAGATTATAAGCACACCCAATTTCTTTTTTTATTTTTATTGGGTAAACGTGGTAATCAGGGCCAGCTTACGCACGCCGACTACTCCCGGTCGATCAATAATGGCCTGGATTCATCGTAGGTGAACTGCATGGCCAAAATAGCTTTGAGTGTGATAGGAGTGCTCAAGATGGTGGTGTGGCGTTGTACCCTTGTTTGAGTAGGGTTGGTTTCTGGTAAGAAAAGAAGTTATGGTGAGAATTGTAAGGAGGGATCTCTACCATTGGATCAATTCTAGTTGAGGATCAACATTAATGAACCGGATTAAGTTTCATATCAAAACCAATTCATGGGGTTGAAATGAAATTAAAAATGATGTTTAGATCTTTTTTATGTTTCTTATTTTAACTCCTAACTTTTTTACAAGAATACTTACTCTTTTTGAGTAATAGTAACGTGTCAATTACAGACGATATGAAGTATATCACGTGACAAAAGAGTGGTTAAAGAGGATATACACATTGGGGCATAGTGGACATAGATATGCTTTAAGCATTACATTACGTGTGATACCTCCTCAAATACTGATTTTGCTTGTCCCGTTTTGGGTTTTCTTTTGCTACAAATTAACTTTGTGTGTTTAAATATATGTCATGGATTGGTTTGAGTTTTCATCCATCTTTTGCTTTTTCACCTTAATCCTGTATCACAGATTCTGCTTTCGAGTTTCTTGCACCTTTTTATGTTCCTAACTTCAAGATTATCGGTGTTACTGACGTAAAAGAAGTTGATTTTAACATGAGAGTGTAATGATTTGTTCGGTTTTCAGCTACATTATTTTATTTTGTTTTTATTGGTGTGACTGATTCAATAATTTGACGCCAAATTATTTTAAAGAAATTTATTAAAATAACCATTTTTTAGTGTTGGTTTCACATTTTATCTTTAAGTTCACCAAAATAGTCATGGGTCTGTAAAAACCTACATCCGTAATTGAGGACCCAACTAAATGACAAATTTCTTTTACACTTTCTACCCATGTTTGTAAAAAAAATATTACACTTTTAATCCATATCCGTAAAAAAAAGTAATATTTTTAACCCAAGTCCGTAAAAAAATTAAAAATTGCGGACCTAAGACTATTTTTGTAAATATTGTAAAAATGATCAAGAGGTGAAACCAACCGATCAAAATGGATATTTTAATTAATTTATCTATATTTTATTGAGTAATGTTTTTGGAAGCGGCAACATGATATACTTATAGGTTAAAAAGATGGTGTCTGCTTGGCTTGAGCTTGGCTTCAAAGGTCAAAAGTAACTGGAGGTCTCAAATTCAAATTCAAGAAGGAATAAAAATCCTCTTGTGGCCACGGAGGTTCAAATGCAGTGACTCTAAGCTATCCGTAAAGCAGGTGATCGTTCAGGAATTAGTCGACTCACATAGCAGGTTGGATATCCAGGTTAATAAAAAAAAGTTGATATACTTATTTAGAATGTATGACGTAACTTTATGATATGTTAGGTGGGTAAGTTTAGGGGGTATTTGATTTGGATTTTGTAGAATAATTTGAAATTGGAATATTTTTTAAATTTTGTGTATGTTTGATGCATAATTTATTAAAAAAAACATTAAATAATTAAATATTTTTTGTTAATTGATTATTATAAAATAGGGTAAAGGCACAAAATAGCAATCTACTTTCATAAATTTATTTATTATATCATATTTTCAAACTATTTTTTATTAGGACATTGTATTTTGAAAAATTTACCCATTATAACAGTGGGTAACTTTTTGATTTATATTTACCCATTATACCAGGTTTTCATGTCACCTCATTGTCCACGTATGTTGTCCACATGTACTATAGTGATGTGAGTTTCTTATTACACTATTGTACTTTCAAAATTATTTTATTATAGCATATATTAGTTCTTATTAAACACTGTACTTTTAATTTTAATATTTAGATTTTTTACATGTTATTTAATAAATATATTAAATGAACTAAAAAAAATTGTAAATTATTTATTAATATACCAATATCAATAAAACTAGTAGAACACAACTTATCTCACTAATATTTTAAAAAAATATGTGTTTTTAAAAAAAAGAAAATAAGAATTGTTCTTTTTTTACCAAATAATATTATCTCTTAAAGAATGTATTATATTTGTTTAAAAACTTTTACTTGACGTATAAATATATTAAATTAATTAGATTTTTTTGAATTATTTATTAATATGACAACATTAAAAAATTGTAGATCACAATTTATTTTGTTAACATTTAAAAAGAACTTTAAAAGATATTTTTTTTAACAGCATAAAATAAGTGTTACCTTTTTTACAAATAAAATATATCTCGAAAATAATGTATCATATTTATTTAAGAAATATTTTACTCTAGAATATTTAATTTGCACGCAATTTAATAAGAAAAAGTCAAAAAAAACATTTTGAAAAATGAATATCACTAATAATAATTTGAAATAAATTTTTATTTTTATTTTAGTTAAGTCATCAAATGATGTGTCATCCACATCATCTCATTAAAGCCGCACAAGCAAAAAAAGTCAAAGGGTTAACCGGTTTAAAAGGTAACAGGTTACTCATTGCTATAATGGGTAGGTTTTTTAAAGTACGATGCATTAATAAAAAATAATTTGAAAGTACATTATTGTAATAAAGAAAAACAAAAGTATAATGCTATAATAAAAAAAAATGAAAATAGGTTGTTATTTCATAGATTTAACCCTATATAATATTGTTTTTAACATATTTGAAAACATCAGTTCAAACAAATCATACAAAATTCTATAAAATATCAACTACCCCTTCGAGATTTTTAAATCCAATGTTTATGGGATTTAAATGAAATTCTTGGATATTAATTTCGGATTTTCATTGAACCAAACATGAGATTCGATTTCAATTTCAAATCCCTTACAAACCTTACAAACCAAACAAAAACGGTCCCTAATGACAGGGACGCACCCAAGTGGTACATGTGGTGGGCATGGGCAACCACTTCGTTATTCCATTGTTGTATAAAAAATTATAAGGTCGTGAAAAATCTCATTGCATCAGTTTGTTGTGTGTCACGAGATATATTTTGAAACTGCAATGAAGACATAAGTTTTTCCTGTTAGAGTTGGTTTGAAAAACTTTTTTTCCACCTTAGACCCGAGTTTGAATTCCGTAACTCTCATGTTCATATATTGGAATTAGGTAGATTATATTGGAATTTGGCGTCTTGGTTAGGATGTATTTTTCATTTTTTATTTAATAACTGATTAGCTCATCTCTTAACAACTATGGATAAATATTAAACCAAAATAATAATAATAATAACTGTGGAGTTGTTAGAGGCCGACAACTAATGATATCAGGTGTTTCTACAATCTTCAAAAGAATACTATTCGATGTGTGACGTTAAGTATCTACAAAAGTGGTATCTCCAAATGTCCCTAGCAACAAACAATGCTCCCCTCAAAACTTGGGATCCCCACCATCTGAAGATCCTGATATACATGTCATTTAAGAAAAGTGATAGGTTTAACGTTTAGTGAGATGAAATAGTTTAGTAAATACAGTTAGAAATCATGAAACCGGGAATATAGAGATTGACGAGAAAAATGTTCAAGCAATCCCAACATAAAAGACTATAAAGCCAACATTACGTCTTGCGACGACAGAGAAAGACCCAATTTCCATTGATCGTGGCTCAACACAAAAATAGGTCACAAATCTATGTTCTAGAGCCTTTATTACGTAACATTGGCCATCGAGTTCAATGACCCTCGGTCTATAGTCCAAGCCCTCCAATGAACTAAGATGTGGTTAATTGCTAGAATCAAATCATTACACGTCGCACAGTCATCAAGTTCAACCACCCACGAGTTATAGCTTGAGTCCTTCTGTTATTCATTAATCGTATCTAGCTATTATATGGTTACAAACTATCAATCGACTTATATGCCTATGGATCTGTTCCATTATAGTCTAAGCATATTATTTGAGATATGGTTTCATAGGTTTCAAAACCCAAATAATTTCCTCTTCCAAGTACCAATAATTTATCTCGTTCAAGATCAAAGTCATTTCTGATAGATCTCACAAAAGTCATAAGTTTTATAACCCAACATATCATATTTAAGATGATATCTCATGTTTTTACCACACGATCAAACCATTAAACCTTTATTTTGTCAAATCGGGAAAAAAACCCTTAAATCTCCTGAAATACCCAAAATTGAACAAAGTTCATAAATACGTAAAATAAATCAAAAGGGATGTTTAGGAGACTAAAACACAGTATTTTGACATGTATAACAGTTTAAAATGTTAGAATGAACTTACTTCACTAGGTTTTGAAGATAACCTAAAAACCAAGCAAAACATATAGGAAATCGAGGAGATTTTTAATCTTGACCCAGTATACTTGAATCCTTGCTTTAAAGTGCCTTAAATGCTGAAAGTACCTTATTCGGCTTCAGTGAAGAGAGAAGGGGATGAGAAGAGTAAATGAGAAGAAACCCTAACAAAAGGGGTTTTTAACGGTCAACATGATTCATACGACCACATCCGCGACTCAAATTGTGATGCTGGTTGCCAACACCAAATCTTAACTCAACAGTGCCCCACACGACTTCTCCTATGGTATAGCCCGTGTGCCTAGTTGCGGGACTTTATGTCTCTCGAACTCCAGATCACAGTGAACCACGCGACTTTTCAGCTATGGCTTGTATCGTGGGCCAGGTCGCGACAACCACTGTTTTGTCCTGGTTCAGCCTTTTTCTTGGCTTTTCTCGCATGGGACTTGACCAAAGTCTTTCACCAACCCTAACCTCCGCCTCTGGATTGAGATCCATGTAAACGGTATAAGAGGAACCAGACTCAAAACTGAATTTGTGGACCAGTGATGCATGCTATTCTTAGGATGTTTCAAAAATAAAATCTTAGACCAATAACTTTCTTATCAGTTCCAATAAGTTCATTCAAAAATCAAAATCG